ATCATAGAAATTAATATTCACATCAGTTGTAGGGTGTAGCATAGACTCCAATTCCCCAAGGAAGCTTCCATCCTTCCATTTCTCGCAGAGTCAACAGTGGTTTCCATTTGTCTTTTGAACAGAAACATGAATGTCTCTTAGAGGAAGATGCCACATTATGATTGTAGGGGATGGGCGAACCCACTCAGCTGTAACCCCTCCCCTCCACAGGATGTGTGAGTTCTAGATCATTCTCCCTATGCCATTTTTTCTATGTTTTCAAACATAAGTGGGAATTCAGTTTATGAACATCATATAATTGGAGATTTGGCAAATGATAGCAGTAATCAGGAAACCACAGCTTATGGAAGAATATGAGAATATAAATTTCTGGAAAAGGAAAAAATCCTAATGCAAGAAATCTATACTTTATAAATGATAACATGTAGAGTTAAAGGGAAAAGCTGGATAAATTAGGGGCTGTAATTTTAGACTGTGATATCTCACATCTTACAGTATTGGCCCTTCAGCAGTCTCCCCACAGCTGACCTCATGGCTTGGTTCCTCAGACTTTATATGACGGGATTTAAGGTGGGGGGCACCACCGTGTAGAACATAGAAAGAACCAGGTCAGACACGGACGGGGTATTTGAGGTCGGCTTTACATGAGCAAAGCTTCCAGTGGAGAGAAACAACACCACAACCAGCAGGTGGGGAAGGCAGGTGGAGTAGACTTTGGCCTTCCCTTCCGTGGATGGGATCTTCCTGATAGCAGAGAAGATGTTGACATAGGAAATGACATTGAAAGTAAAACAGCCGAAATCTAATGTCACATTAATGAGAATGGGGACAAGTTTGCTCATTAGATTTTCTGTGCAGGAAATAGACAAAAACTGAGGGACATCACAGAAGAACTGGGGGACCACAGTGGACCCACAGTAGGACAATGAAAAGGTTCCATCTGTGTGCATCAGAGAGATGACACCCCCACCCAGCCAGGACACAGCTGTCAGCTGCACACACCTGTCCCTGCTCATGATGACATCATAGTGCAGGGGGTGGCAGATGGCAGCATAGCAGTCAAGGCTCATCACCGTGAGCAGGTGCATCTCTGTAGTTACTGACATAATCACCATTAAGACCTGGAGGACACAGCCCAGGATGGAGATTGAGCTGTTGTGCCTCAGAGAGTTGGCAATGGACTTGGGGACTGTGGCTGAGATGAGGCAGAGGTCCGTGAGGGACAGACTCCTCAGGAAGAAGTAAATGGTGGTGTGGAGGTGCCGGTGTAGGGTGGTGATGAGGACGATGAGCCCGTTCCCCAGCAGGGTGCACAGGTAGACCAGGGAGAAGAGCAGTGGGTGCAGGAAGCCCATGGTCCCCTGGGTGGGGAACCCCAAGTGGATGAATTCTGTCTTGGCCGTGAGATTGGTCACCCCTGGAGCCATCATCTGCATAAAAATATTGAGCAGAATAAAACAGGACACCTGCAAGTACTGTCACAGGAGTGCCCCCGAGGTACTCTCAGGGTGTGGAGTGGAGCAGCCTCGTGTCTCTAGCTCTCTGTTGAGCCTTTTGTGTTCAGCTCCAGAAATGTGCCTTTATCACACAGTATCTGGGATTGGAAAATGAGGGACATTTCACCTGATCTTAGGATTCTACTCCGGTTGAATCTCATAGTTGACCGACAGTCCCTCCCTATGGCCCCAGCACCGCTGCTCACCCTCCATGTGCAGGTTTGTTCAGGCCCATGTGTGAGTGGGGACATCTGGACTTGGGGCAGCCCTGCCCACTCCCCACCTCCCCCCAATCTCATCCTCTCCTCCCTCTTGGGGGTGATGGAGGGGCAGGTTCTGGTGACTGTAAGATTTTTAGGAGAATGTAGTAGTATATAATTACTGTAAGATATAAGAGAAACAATCCCAGCTAATTTAAGGAAAACAAGAAAAAAAATCAACTCAAAAAATGTTGTAGCCTAGGGAAAAAGCTTTTTCAGTGGTCTAGAATCCATATTTATATTGACAAAATTAGATTTTACATAATTCTGCTGTTGTGTGGAATTAAAATAAAAACAAGATCATACCATAATAGATTTCCACAGGAGTCTCTATGTTAGTGTGAAGGAACTAGCAATATCAACATGATAGATCAGAGAACCCTGCTACCCTCCCCACCCACAAAGTGGGCATCTCTGACCAACAGAAAGTAGGAAAAATAAAGAAAGAAAATAAAACAAGAGCAAACTACAGATCAAGGGGGACTCTGCGTAGAAAAGAGCTATTTCAGGCACCGACCCTGTGAATGAGAACTGTGGAGAACTGTGCAGGAATCGCCAGGAAGTGAGAGAACAGCTCCAGGCACCATTAGAGGAAGACAAGGACTCCGTGGAGAGACCTGCAAATAGCCCAAGGCCAGCTTGTAAGCTTGTGCAGAAAAACGACACACGCTGGAAAAGCACACGTGTATCAGGCCTCCCCTGGTGACACAGGTGTTTGAGCGCAGCACTGTGGAGCGGAACGCAGCCTCTGTAGTGCGGGTTCGATCCTGGCTGGCAGGCGAGGGTCCGACATGGCGCTCAGACCTCTCCTGTCGCGCCCACTGCACCCCTCAGCAATGTATTTCGTCAGTCTGCCTGTTCTGCTCCCAGCTCTGTCTCTGGTGAATCCTCTCACCCTCCCATGCATCTGGCCTGTACCCTGGTTCTTGTATAAATAAATTAAATCTTAAAAAAAAAAAAATATGTGTATCACAACTGCCCAGGTCCCCGCGCCCACAACCTAGGTTTGTGGGGAGATGAACTGGAGCTGTCACTGAGGTGAATGTCCCTCACTGAGTAATCATATATCAGGCACCCAGACACAGGAGCAGGGTGCAAAAGGCACCATTTCTGCAAACATTGAACTGGGCTACCGTCCGCGGCCTGTATCTGAGGGCTTCAAAACTGAGAACTGGAACACGAAAACAGGGTGAGGGATACCCATGACAGTGGGCACAGGGAAGACATGGCACCCCCACGCTGTTGAGGTGCTCCACAACACCCCCACTCTATCCCCAGACCCAAGGACACTGGGAAACATCTCTTGTGCCACCTAGCGACCAGAGCAAAATCACCAACATCCTGATAGTTGGAAACCAGGGATCCCAATAACACACTCAGGCTCTGAGAAAGGAAGGCCATGAAAACGGGGCTAAGAAGGGAAATAAGTCATGGAGCAAAACCCACATTCTGGAACTGAGAGCTAGGAGCAGGATCCAGGATGAGGGACGTGCCATAGCAGCAGGCACTGCAGAGTGACAGCCAGCATTTTGAATCTGAGCCCTGAAACAGAGACCTACAGAACAGAATTCAGGGCATGGGATCCATATAGTTGTGGGCACAACACCCGGTGAACATGGGGCAGACAGAACACCCAGCTTGAATAAGAGTCCCTGTGTTGAGGTGCTCCCCTCCACCCATTCTCCATTTCTCAGAGAACCACTGGGAAAAAGCACAGGTCAGCAAGTATGGTCTCTGAGACTGTAATCAAATGACTCCCCAGTAAATTAAAAATTTAAGATTTAAAAAAACTTACCTTTAAAATTATTTGACAGACACCTAGTCTGGCGTGACACACCCACTGTCCCAGTTTGCTTCCCACAAAATTCTCACCCTCACAGAGACAGGAGGAAAAGCAAACCTCACTTGATGTCCCAGTCACCAGCTGCCCTCTGCTGTGCTGGCCTCTAGTGTCTGGGGTCCAGGCCTCTGGCTCACACACTCCAGCAGACAGGCCGCAGGGCTCACTATCTCCTTATCCTACTGCACCCCAGGCCCTGACACCATCCTCAGGTCCCCTTCCTCAGGGACCTCACCCTGAGAGGACCAGGTGTCTATTATCCCCGTGGACTTCTTAATGGTGTCCCCAGTAATGAGCCTCCTGAGTCATCAGTGCAGTCAGGGGGCCACAGGAGACTCCACAAACAGGACTGTGGTTCCCCCTCCTCAGGCTCCATCAGCCTCTAGTGAGTGGCCATGGGGACCCAGGTGTGGCCCTGTTATCAGAGCCGTGTCCACAGGTAACTGCAAAGTCACCATCATACCCTGTGCTCCCTCGGGGAAACCTGCAGAGGAGGTTGTGAGGAGGTTGGGGAAGGGGGAAGGGAATAAAGTAGGCTGGAACTAAGGGAGAAAGGAAAGTGGGGAAGGAAGACAAAAAAGAAATTCAACATAACTGAACAATAGATGGGAAGAAAACAATCTTCTGAAGTAGAAATGTTTCCTGTCATCACAAATTTACCATGTGTGTGCTTTGGTTTATTTTTTAATGGTCCGTTCTCAGCATCTACAAGTCTTCTTTGAATCTGAATCGCTACTGCTGGTGAGTGTGTCCTTTATCTTCACAAGGAGAGGGGCCTTTTGCAGTTGGAGTGGTTCTGGTGGATGGTTCTTCATGGTTTGAGATTCCTGGGGTTTGATGTCATGACTATGGTGTCTTCAAATACATGGTAGAGGCCTTTTGTGGGTGGCCTTCACTGTGTGAAATGCTTTGGAATTCAGAGTGACGCTGCCTTATACTGCCTCATCCCTGGTTTACATACACACATACTCAAAATTCTCTAGG